CCCCAAAACCCCAAAACCCCAAAACCCCAGAGATGGTAGTAAAAATTGAGAGATTATTATCATTATTATCATAACTATCTGTGATAATCTATTTTGCCATTCACTTGAATTCTTGTAGGGTGAAAATTTATGTTTGGCTGATTTTGAGGGGCTCGAGGAGGCATTATGGAGAAACTACTTCTGCTCATATTTGAAGAGGCATGATTTATGATCTGTGAGGGATATTGGTTCAACTCTTCTTGATTCTGGGGTGCTCTCTTGTGTGTCGAGGGTTTCTTTGGAACAATACTTTCTTTTTTCTTATTGCATTTTCGCTTATAAATGTAGCATATTATTGACTTTACCAAGAAAATTAATCAAATTAGACTTCATATTGCTGGAGAGATCATAAATATTGTTATATAGTAACTTTCATAGAATGGAGTCCAAGCCTCCTTTGTGTTTAGCCATGATAATGGTACTGATAATCAACAGAACAGGGTCTGATTGATAATCTCAATGACGCTATCTTGTGGGTTCTCGAATGGCCTAACAACAATCAAGTATACTCCATAAGCGATGTTCAATAAATAAAAATAAGTTGCCTTATAAGAAGCAGGTATATCCCTTCATAATATTAATAAAGAGGATAGCATCAGCCTCAACAGCATGAACAGGCTAGAATAGAGCTTGGAAAATTTAGAAGGCTTTATCCCATTAAAATACTCTATTCAAGGCCAATACTTTTTTGGATCAACCTGAGGAAATGACATTACGTACATATAGAACGAAAGGATAAATAACACACTTGTTCATAGTGCAAATATTATTCACAACCCGAAGGATATTTTAGTCACAAGTGTGCCCAGGTTGAGAGTGTAAATTTCTGAGAAGATTGATAGACTTGTAAAAGAAAATGCCTGGATAAATATCCTGATGTAGATATTAAATGTGAAAAACAAAAAGAGTTTTTTGGTGAACTTTCTACATCTTTTGTTTTTAGAATTCTTCACTCACCGACTTCAGAAGAAAATTCCAAAATGAATTACTCCCAGAAAAATGAGAACAGCCATAAGCGATAAGTAGTTAACAACTGAACTTCCAGATCTCATTCCAAGACTGTTTAAGTATTCGTCAGATTGAGGGTATGACACCCATTCTGATATTTCTTTAATCAATGGAAGATCTTTGAATTTGATGAAGTCAAAAGACATCATTGTAAAGCCCATTCCACTCAAGAAGTCTAATACCTTTGTCGAAAAATAGTCAGTAATCAGAGGTAACAAAACTGCCAACTGCAGGCTGTTCATTATACTAAATATTGAATTTACTGATGATAGTGATAGAACAGATGAAGCACTTGCCAACACAACACTTGATGTCACCATAACAGCCGCAGCTTCAGTAGCACCAGCCATCAAAGTAATCTTTGATCAAGACTTCTGACCATCAGATTGTTTATACCCTTCATTTCAAGTCTCTCACAGATCAGTGCTACCCAACTGTCAAAGCTCTCAGTTCAAAATATTACACTCTTCAACATGAATTTCAAACTTCTTATAATGTGTCTCACTGGCAAAATCTATCTTAAGCGAGAAATAGAATGTTTGTGATTCAGCCAGCTTCGGAGTCTTATTCAGATGCAACTCTTGATCACCTACATCCAGTTGGACCCACTCAGGAATGTCATGGTTCACAGTCTTAGCTAAGCTAAAGTTAATATCAGTATAATTTGAAGAAGGAGCTCAGGCCCAAGTGAAATCGACCTGCACTGAAGTATTGCTCTGGACTGATTCAATATGGTCTTTGTTCCACAAAGCTACATAAGTGGTGTAAGTAGGGCTGACAGTCGAAGTTATGTCGTCAGGTGTGATTGTAGGCGAAGTTGAAATAGCTAGAGTGTTTGTACTTGTAGTGATATTTGGAATTGATGTCGTAGAGGAAACTTGATGGCTAGTAGTAGATATAATTTTGGTAAAGAGGGGTGCTTCTTCTTGAAATTCATGGAACTGGTTAATGGTGTCAGGAGATGATCTTGCAAAGAAAAATGTGAGATTTAGGGATATTCTTCCACAATGATACATTAATTCCTCACCTTGATATAACAACCTTCCAACAGAGAAAGATTCCGAATCTATAGATCTGTACTCTTTTAAAATCTCTGTGCTACTCGAGTTCACCAAAATTAATCTTTTTAGTTTTGGTAAACTAATACTATACATCTGAACAGCAATGAAAGTATCAAACTCTTTTATGGGATAGCTATTATGCAGCCCACCGTCATTATAAATAAGTCCTGAATTGTGAGAAGTTCCATCTGACACGCTCAGCTTCAGAAAAATAAAATTATCATCAAGCAAAATCATAGTAAAAATCCAGCTCTCATCTCGGCTCAGAATAGAACTGCTGAACTTATTAGCACAACTTGGAGCTGAGCATGCAATGCTCTTCTTCCAGATTTGATTGGAAGGATTCGAGAAATTAAAATGCATCAAATAGTATTGGTCAGAAGCAGAATCAGTTGACCCGAGGAAGATAAAGTCATTTTTGATAGGAGCAAAAATGACAGGCCTCTTTATTCCAAAGCTGACTCAACTGAGATTGGTGCTTGATCCATCCCATCTTCAAATCTCTGTAAGTGAATTTACTTTAAGACTAAAATACAAATCAATGCTAGCTTTTAAGTTTGAAATAGTATCAAAAGTACCAGAGCTAACTGACAACTCTCTTGAGATGGCCAAATCAGAAGTCCTAATTTCAAAAATCTTGTTTGAGTATCTATTCAGAATGTATATAAAGTTTGTGTTTGGATCACTAACAATTGAATAGAAATGACAATAGATATCATACGTCATAACTTTAATTTTAGCCAGACTATGGTCAGTTTTGTAGATAATTGTATCCCAAGGAGCTGAGTCGTTCCGAAAATATCCAACAAAATAGAGTAAATCCCGCTGTTGATCTTCGATTACTTCCTTGAGATAAGTTTTACTACATCATGGCATTCCAAAACTTCCTAGAAGTGGCGACCCAGACGTTTGCAGATCATTCTTTCACACATTAGCCATTACAGCAATGATACACATCAAAAATATGAAGATTTGCTTCATTTTTATATTATTAATTACAATTTCCTCTACATTTATATATACTCCAGGGGTTTTGGGGTTTTGGGGTTTTGGGG